TACCATCACCCATATTTACAAGGTACCCAGTTTCCATCCCACTACCATCACCCATATTTACTAGGTACCCTGTGTCCATCCCACTAACATCACCCATATTTACTAGGTACCCTGTGTCCATCCCACTACCATCACCCATATTTACTAGGTACCCTGTGTCCATCCCACTAACATCACCCATATTTACTAGGTACCCAGTGTCCATCCCACTACCATCACCCATATTTACTAGGTACCCAGTGTCCACCCCACTACAATCACCCATATTTACTAGGTACCCAGTGTCCATCCCACTACCATCACCCATATTTACTAGGTACCCTGTGTCCATCCCACTACCATCACCCATATTTACTAGGTACCCTGTGTCCATCCCACTACCATCACCCATATTTACTAGGTACCCAGTGTCCATCCCACTACCATCACCCATATTTACTAGGTACCCAGTGTCCACCCCACTACAATCACCCATATTTACTAGGTACGCAGTGTCCATCCCACTATCATCACCAATATTTACTGGGTTCTCTAAGCCCATATCAGATAAAAGTTGTCATAGAAATTAAAAGCTCTCTATAGTTTTGGATTGATTTGTAGGAATGTTTACAGCATTTATTCAGTGTTGTTCTTTTTTTTTTCTCATCTGTGAGAATCGGACAATGATTTTGTTTTCTATCATCAGTCATTCAGAAACTATGTAAATATGCTATGATTATTCATAGTTATGCAAATACCATGACCCCTGCAGGTTGCTAGACACTATAGATTTCTACACACTATGTTGTTTGTAAATTATTGATGTGAGTACTCTATGGATGCCTGTATACACCACACTCTGTTCAAATTTAAATTATATACACAAATGAATAGCAGAGAACAAAAAAAAACAAGATTTCTAGAAAATACCAACTCTCAATTAAAAACAATCAAGACACAATTAGAAAAAAAAGCACAAGTTGTAAAATGTCGACCAAATAGCTCAAACGTCGACACAGGTTATCAAAATCCTTCACTCTCCTTTAAACTAATATGCAAAGTAAAAAAAATACTCAATTTAATGCAATAAAATCTAAAAAAATATTAACATTTTTAAGTAATGCTATCCACTTGGCTATGAGCATCTTTAGCACATATTTGTTTATCTTTCCATAGAGACCTTTCACAAATGGTGAAAATGTAATTACCCTTGGAGTATTGCTCACCAAATCAGATATGAGGAATCCTTGTCTTAATTGGTGAGCCAAATTTTCCCATGAGTGTGGTGAACTTTTGGGTTGTACCATAATTAAATTAGAGATGAAGACTGAAACATACAAGAGTCGTTACAGAATAGTAGATAAAGAATTGTTAATATTCAATAAAGAATTGTTAAAATTTGGACATTGATGATATGTAGACATACTTTTGTTTCTGTATTCATATTCTGTATATGCTTCTAGACGTACAACAAACTCAGAAATAAAATAAATTGTTTTGATTCAAATGACGTCTGCGTCTTTGAAAATCAAATCCTAATGTTCTTGTGTTTCCGAGTGAAAAAATGGAAAAAAGGTCTATTTTTGATAAACTTATGAATTCTGTCAAATCATTAGATAGGTTATTTATTAAAGACCCAGGGGAACAACAAATTTGGACATGAATCGCCCTGTTGATGAAAAATCAGGGATAATAGCCGAGGGGATGAAAACTGCATTTCAAAATGTTATTTCATGTATTGAGTATATAATTATGAATACAGTAAAAATAGGCTTTCACTTTGTGCTTTATGTTGTTCAATATTAAATGAAAGAGACATATTTTATTTTCATTTCTACACATGTTAATTAAAGTGTGGTTAAATTGCGATTCGCATTACTAAAAATCGTGTTCAATTTCTGCAATCTAAAATCTCCAACATAAAACTATTGTGACTTTGTATTATCATTTTATTACACATGATATTCAATAGCACATAATATTACAAATGTTCTGTAGGACATCTCTAGACATCTCTAGAGAATTCAGTTGACTGTAGTGAGTATTTAACCTACATCAAATAGAGACAACCTTTTTTCTCAAAATGTAATGGCTACATATGTACAAGTATGTAATTATTCATGTGTTTTTTTTTCATCTAGCATAAAACAATTTTCTAAATTGTTTCACACTGAATGAAAGAATGTATCATAGCATATGTTAAAGCATTATTCATAAAAATCAAATACTAATCAGTAAAATATTAATTCATGACAACCATAGGTATCCATGACAACATTAGGTAACCATCTTATAACTACATGTGTTTCACAATATGCTACCAAATAAAACATCAAACGTTATGATTTGGACACCAGTGCTGAATTGCTAAAAAGAAAACATTTTTTTCAAGAAAGTTTAATCCATTTTTTTGCACTAAATAACAGAATACAATAAAAACACATTGGTTTTAATGGTAGCCAACTACCATCTGTAAGAACATCTGTATAGTTGTAATATTTGCACAAACTTCATTTGAAAAGATTTTAATTGAAAACTTCATGTTCATTATGGGTTGAAACCTGTATGGTTTAAATTCTCAGACAGCAATAAGTCTACTTTTTACAGTTGATCAATATCATTTATTATTTGCTTTTACTGTATTTTCATTCAAATTGAATACATACATTGTGCCGTAGACATCCCTATTCAAGGCCATTGTTAGTCATTTTACACAAAATGAAGTCTACAATATTTAGTACCTTGATTTTTCAGATGACAAGTTTTGATCCAGACCTAAACATTAAGTCTCTGCTGCATGACCCCTAAAGGTCACAAATTCTGGTATTTTCATGGGGTGCTAACAATCACACTTTCTAATATTATAGCCCTTTTTAAAATCTTTTTGTGTGTGTGAAAAAAAGTGAATTTATTCGTTCTTTATTGCAATTTAGAATATAAATAATATGTAACACAGGTAAATCTATTTTTATCAAACTGTTTTTGAAATTCAATGGAAACTGCTTGTATTTTTTGGGAAAACCTATTAACATACATGTACATTATATTTTGACTGAAAATGTTGAAGGCCATCTAAATTATCTAGATTTTCTGAGCAGAATTCTCAGCTTTTTTGAACATAGTTTATATATATATTTTGCCAACCAACAACTAGGACTTTTATGCAAATTATGTATTTGCTCTATTCGAAGAGCTTATCTAAATATCATGCTAATAATATACTAGCATTTCTTGATTATTTTGTGAATTTAGTCTTCAAAATACAAAAAAAAACAGTAATGTGGCTTTGTATGCCCTTTTGTTGGAAATTAAATACCGTATTCACTCTATTATAAGGGCATATGCATCTGCATAATTTTGATGACTCAGTAGAAAATAACACAATTTTTAGATTACGTGCACTTCTAAGGATGTTATTTTCAGGATACAGTTTAATTATTTTCTTAAATTAGACTATATCCAGGGTTACGTGAAAACTTTGTATCATGAATCACAACCATATACCGATATGTGGCAACCCAAAACAGAATACAGACGATTTTTTTGGATGATTAATTTCTAGGTGAGATGCACATCAAGAAAATCAAGCATTCATTCTGTTGTCTATTATTCACCAATAAAACATTATTAAAAAATAAAAAATAATTGATGTGTATCACATTACATTCTATCATTTAGTGGCATATGTGAATTCCTATTCACATACTCACATGTGGTTTCAGTTTACAGGAATTACATGAAAACAAGTAAGGACATGTTTATAACAAGCCAATCATAGCTGGTAAATTGACATAAATGATGAGATATGTTTGAATAATAGAACTGATATCCTAACGATATACAAGTGTCATTTTCAATTTACCCATAATACAATGCAGTAAGCAGTGCAAAGAGTAAACTGCATCATAGGTAGAAAAGTATTTGTGAGACAAATTGACAATATTAAGAAAATATTATTTTCTAAAAATAATTCTATACTAATTTTTACCTATCATTTTGGATATTGAGACAGTATGACAGCTAATACTGTACTTCTATGATTAACCAAACAGTGGAGCCTAGACAACATTGTAACAAGTTCAATCTGTATACAATAAGCTGACATGTGACAATAGAAACAAAATAAACTGAGATACACACATGGTTTAAGTATAAAGACATTTAATATACTAATAGACAATATCTAGTGGTGTTGACTATTTCAATAATGCTAACTTGAGTACCAAGCAAGTCAGTATGTCACAATATGCCTATGGTACATGTGTAAAACTGCTTGAAACCCATATTGGGAACTATTGCCCCGTGATGATCAGGGCGAACTAATGGTCAATGCCCCTACACACAGATGGGGGGGGGGGGTCACCTGTTTGTATTATGATATGAACA